ATTTACCTATTGTTTGCTTTGTGTCATCATTTTGTCGATTATTAATCGCAACAGTATTTACAGTCAATTGGTATTCAAAGGCAAAGAACTCATCAAAAGTGTTGTATTTTGTTTCAATCATTTCGTAAATATCATTTTGCAATCCGTTTATAACAAAATTATATACTTTATGATCACTTTTGGCCACAATTTTAGTGCCATAACTCTTATACGTTAATTGTTGCCGTATTTCACTGAATGTCAATTTTGTCATTAAACCAATTGTTTCATCGGTCGTGTTGTATAAATATATGTGATTATCATTGCATAACATAATAGCCTTATCAGGTGTGTTAACGCATATATTGAGTACATTATACACATTAGGCAATAGTTTTGGACGTTTTATTAACTTATTGTTTCGCATCGATCCCCACATAAATACCCGGCCGTCGGTTGTTATGGAAAACAATAGAGAAAAGCTGGTTATAACCCGAGAAATACGGTACTCATCGGTAAAATCAATGCGAATAGGTTTGGGTTTTTTTGGACTATCGGCGAACCATTTGTATACCCGGCCATCGGATGATAAGCCGAGTATAATATTATAACAACAACTAATTTGTGTTATCGTAATCTCATTAAATAGTGTTATAATCTCCGGCTTATAATAGACATCGATAAACATTTTCTCTTTAGTTAACTGTTGTTTACTTTTGGAGCCCCAGCTGTATATGCGGTGATCGGTATTCATAGCCAATACCATAACCGCTCCATTGAAAAAGTGTTGTATATTTTGATGCCTTAATTGTGGCACTTCTTCGGGCGTATCGATGGGTCGGTTGTGTCCCAAACCTAACTCTCNGAATCGTTCGGCCTCGTTGTACAGCTCGGGTATAGTGACAAATACTAGGGCCACACCGCGGGGTTTGGTCTCCATTTTGCACTGCTTGGATGTGTCGGAGCGCAGGGCTCGGGCGGGTACGACAGTTAGGTTGATATCGTGGGAATATGACCATGGTCGTTCCGATAGGTTGAATTGGCGCAATTGTTTGGCGGCATCTTTTTGGCCAGATAGCTCCAGGGCTACGGCCAGTTGTTCGGTGTTGTCCCGGACCAAAGTGAACTCGCTAAATATGCGACATTTTTTAGCCATTAATTTGTCTAAAATTACGTCACATTCGGGTCTTAGTCTCCAATCAATCTTTCTATAACTCTCTGTATATATACTAACACTCATTGATAGCAATAATCCGTATATTTCTGATAATTTATTGTCTAATTCTTTATCATTAGTTTTAATGGTTTGAATTCTATATAAATAAAATATAATCATATTATTAAATTTAAATTAAAAATAATTAAATATTGATTCTTACACTCCGTCTCTGATATAATCGGAATCAAAGTGAAAAAGTTCTGCTCCAATGAGTGCCAGACTATAGACATCTATTAAATGGTTATAATCGGTGCCAAACTGTGCTTCGGGTGCCATATATTGGGCGATATCTGCGGTGTGTTTAGCACTCCTTTGATTGTATTCATCACTCAATGCTTTCACTTCTTTAGACAAACCGAAGTCACATAACTTTATATATCTATGATTTGTATAAATATATGGCATAGAAATCAACACATTATCGGGTTTGAGGTCTCTGTGAATGATATTATTTTTATGCAAATACTCCACACTTTCCACCAATTGTTTGAATATATCATATGATATGTAATAATCATATGTTTTATACATTTTAAACAATTTTCTTTGAGTTTTGATCAAATGAATCAAACCATTGAAACAGAGCTCCATTTGAATGTATAAACAGTTGTATTGAATCCACGAATAGTAGTATTGAATGACATATTCTGAGCGCAATTTTATTAAATTTTCCGTTTCTTTCAATACATTTTCTCTCTGTTTTGCTGTTAATACTGTTTATAAAAATAATAATTAATGCAAATTTAGTACAATTAATACCTTTTCAAACATATACCCCGTAATTGGCATTTCTTGATAGCAAACACATCGCCAGTAGTTTTGTGGCTAACTTTCATAACCTGTCCGTAACCTCCCTTTCCTATCATTGCCAGCGTCTCAAACATATCGATATTATTTGCATTAGAAATAGTTTCTGAAAATTATAACTTATAATAATTAGTTATTAATAATTAAATAATTTATATTAAGCATCATTATAATTGATAATGCATTTAATAATTATCCTAATATTTTACACCAAGATAACAATAGAGTTGCCGTATTATTAATTCTAATAATAATAATATATTTACCTATTGTTTGCTTTGTGTCATCATTTTGTCGATTATTAATCGCAACAGTATTTACAGTCAATTGGTATTCAAAGGCAAAGAACTCATCAAAAGTGTTGTATTTTGTTTCAATCATTTCGTAGATTTCATTTTGTAATCCGTTTATAACAAAATTATATACTTTATGATCACTTTTGGCCACAATTTTAGTGCCATGATTCTTATACGTTAATTGTTGTCGTATTTCACTGAATGTCAATTTTGTCATTAAACCAATTGTTTCATCGGTCGTGTTGTATAAATATATGTGATTATCATTACATAACATAATAGCCTTATCGGGTGTGTTAACGCATATATCGAGTACATTATACACATTAGGCAATAGTTTTGGACGTTTTATTAACTTATTGTTTCGCATCGATCCCCACATAAATACCCGGCCGTCGGTTGTTATGGAAAACAATAGACAAAAGCTGGTTATAACCCGAGAAATACGGTACTCATCGGTAAAATCAATGCGAATAGGTTGAAGTTTTTTTGGACTATCGGCGAACCATTTGTATACCCGGCCATCGGATGATAAGCCGAGTATAATATTATAACAACAACTAATTTGTGTTATCCTAATCTCGTTTGTATTAAATAGTGTTATAATCTCCGGCTTATAATAGACATCGATAAACATTTTCTCCTTAGTTAACTGTTGCTTACTTTTGGAGCCCCAGCTGTATATCCGGTGATCGGTATTCATAGCCAATACCATAACCGCTCCATTGAAAAAGTGTTGTATATTTTGATGCCTTAATTGTGGCACTTCTTCTGGTGTATCGATGGGTCGGTTGTGTCCCAAACCTAACTCTCCCTTATTATTACTGCCCAACCCATAGACCCGATCACTACGGGTCACAAACAATATGTTAGTTCCGTTATAATCGTCAAAAACGTAAAACAAATTTATTTCTTGTTTCAAATTTTGTGGAATTTTGGCACAAATTTTAAAATTATTTAAAATTTCAGACATTATTGGTGGTTATTATTATCAGTAAAACTAAATTATTATATTTACATTTTTACCCTAATTAAATAATCCATAATTCACATGTTACGTTAACTTTTAATTTAAAGTAACTATGATTGTATAATCATGCTACTTAATTATAAATGCTGTAATTAATAGTTTTTAACTTCATATTAAACATACATAATATTGTTTGTGTGAAAGTATCTGTTTGTAAACATAATAATTTATAATGCATAATGGTTATTTATTTCTATATATCATTCAATAGCTATTTCACCATCTAGCGGTTCATAATTAATTTACTTCATCTAAAAAATTATAATGGTAAGAATATTAACATTTTATTACATTTAAATAATTATTAATTTTATTCTTAGTTGTGCATGATATTGTTATTTTTCCTTTGTATAATTACTTGTAATGGAGTTAAAAATAGAGTAAATAATTTTGCCTCATTATAAATTTTACATTTAATTAATATATAAACATTTTAGTTTAAAATAAGTTAGTAAATAAAACATGGGATCCCAGCTTAAGTCTATGGCTATACTTTAACATGGGGCTAATGTTATCTTATGGATAATGTTAAGTCTATGGGAAAATTTTTTAATGGGTTTCTATAGAATTACAGCTTAAGTTTATGACATAGGGTTAACATGGGCAATGCTGAGTCTATAAATAATGATAAGTATTGTATATGGAACTAATGCTAATTCTATGGACAATGTTGAATTTATGGGACTATTGCTAAGTCTATGGACAATGTTAAGTCTACGGGACTAATGCATGTTTACTCAATGGAATTAGTGCTAAGGCTATGAGAAGTCTATAGACAATTCTAATCTATTTTTCAATTGTGGTTAACGTATAGCATCGCTGTGTGTGAGTTGTTTCAGGTTCAAAAATATTTAGTTAGTGTGCTAAAATTATAATAATATTTTTACAAAATTATTTTTATATTAAATATTGTGCACATTATACTCAATAAGACATAAAATATAGAAATAAATTCTATGACAAATGCAATGATTGCAATAAATAATCCAGTGATTAACAGCGAGAGTGCATTTCTAGACATATCGGCGATTGTTATGTCATTATATGTGTTATCATTTGTATCGTCGATTAATTCATCACGACCATGGACATTTACATGATTTAAACGAAATGCCCGATTATTACTATTAGGTTGTTATAAATTGTTGAATTTACTTATTATATTAATTAATTGCGAAATAACTATAACCAAAATAATTAAACACATTTCCCTCTCTCTCCAGCAGTAAAAGTGGGTAAATATCTCAAAACTAAAGGCGCCACCACTTTATTTCAATGCCATTTACATAGAATTAATCGGTATATAAACATAATCTCTATTCGGTATACATGTATAGCACTTATTGAAAATGTTTGTTTAACTTTTGATTAAAACTATAAAAAAATTAATGCTTGAGTATAATGTCTTATTGATGTATTTATGGTAAAATTATAATATATTGATTACCATTATCAGTATTTAATTTAAAAAGCAGTTTTACATATTGTGTTATTTTTGTAAACCTGTGCCAAAACCTTGAAATATGTGTTTATGTCTGGCGTTTGTCACGTAAACCACGGATGAGAGGGAAATGTGTTTAATTATTTTGGTTATAGTTATTTCGCAATTAATTAATATAATAAGTAAATTCAACAATTTATAACAACCTAATAGTAATCTCTCTTTCTGTCTGGGTTTTTTTGTGCAATACTTAATAATAATTGTAAAAACATTAAGTATTACCTGTATTATAAATAACTTATTTAAAATTAGCTAAATAAATGACATAATGCACTGCAAATAACTTTATTCTCTCTCTCTCTCTCTCTCTCTCTCTCTCTCTCTCTATCAAAATTTTAAAATAAAATGAAATTTTTAATATACGGTATATTTATTTTTAATAATAATTTGTTTAGACAATTATTTAATAAAAAGTTTTATATTTTAATTAATTAACATAGATGTTATGTAATTTTAATGTTTAAATTTTAGCCAAACTAATCATACAAATGAGCTGACATAGACTTTAGAAATATTTAGTCATACAGTAAATAAATTAACAACATTTATAGCAATTTAATAATAACCACACTAACATTAATATCACATTATATTAAAAATAAAATTTTATAAAGTTATTTGCAGTGCATTATGTCATTTATTTAGCTAATTTTAAATAAGTTATTTATAATACAGGTAATACTTAATGTTTTTACAATTATTATTAAGTATTGCACAAAAAAACCCAGACAGAAATTAATCAGTATCATGGGCAAAATTCAATAGGAGCATGATCATCTTATTATGAATTTATTTATTTAATATGATTAATTGTATTTTTAATTATTTCTCCGAAAAATTTGTTAATGAATTGATAGTCAATTGATTTTGCGTTAAATATAGGGATTCGCCACAGAATTGCACTTTTCATCCGTGAGATTATAGTAGCGTTTATTTTGATTGGATTTTCATTAAAAATATCATTGAATTCATTCATTATATCCGAAATATCCCTTTCCTTCATATATTCATCTTTCATACGATTAATATAATCATTAATTTGAGTGATATTTACACCAAAGTTAGACAAAATATATTGTCTATAATCCTTGTCTGTAATACTTTTGCTATAATAAATAGAAAAATAACGTGAATATAATATTGAATTGAAAATTACATTGTATTGTACTTATATTTAAATTGTATTTCAAACAATTCTCCCGCAATTTTCCCAATGTTTTGAATTGAATACTTATTTATCATTGTTTTATTATATATTAATTTATCTTCATAGTTACCATGAAATAATTTTACATAATTTCCAGAAATTAATATGAATTCAGAAACGAGCGTTAAATTACTGATATGTATATCCAATGAACACAAATAGTGAATACAATGTAATAATTGTTTCAACAATTGCTGTGAAATGAGAAAATCAATTGAAATGATTGCCAACGAGTTATGGGTTTGTGTCCCAAATATCACGTGTTTTGCATTTATGACATCCCTTAGAGTTTGCGAACAAAACTCAATTTGATTGTAAATATAATTGTTTTCAATCCAACAATTATAGTATTGAGGCAAATGTTTGTTGGGCTTTAATTGTATTATTTTATGTAAGTTTCCAACTAGTTCGTTAAATATGTCTAATTGTAAAACTGTAAATAATAGAATTGTAAATTTGTATGTACTGTAGTTAATAAAGCAAATTAAATATAAAAATACATTATACAAAATATATATAAAATACAGCATATAATATACAATTCAATAATATACTACCAATAGTAATATCAATATTGCAATAATCAATATAATAATAATATTGTATTAATAATAATATATTATTAATACATTAAATGTAAATTACTTTACCTTTATCAGGTTCGTTAATAATATACTTTATGATGGTACAGTTTTCATTGTTTCGACCCTGCTTAGCGATGTAAAATGTGTCATCTAACTTATCATAATTTTTAATTTTCTCGAAATTACTTTCTATTATGATAAAAATTATAAGTTATGATTATTAATATAAATAAGTATTTGAATGTTTTACTACAATTACCACAAGGTTGTTGATCAACTGTTTGCACAATAATATAATATGGTTTGCATTGAATATATTTTTCAAAAATGTAGTGATATTTGCTTTCAATTATTGTATTGTAAAATATTTTGTCATTTTTCTCGATAATCGGTTCAATTGATAAATGTTTTAATTTGTCTAAAATTACGTCACATTCGGGTCTTAGTCTCCAATCAATCTTTCTATAACTCTCTGTATATATACTAACACTCATTGATAGCAATAATCCGTATATTTCTGATAATTTATTGTCTAATTCTTTATCATTAGTTTTAATGGTTTGAATTCTATATAAATAAAATATAATCATATTATTAAATTTAAATTAAAAATAATTAAATATTGATTCTTACACTCCGTCTCTGATATAATCGGAATCAAAGTGAAAAAGTTCTGCTCCAATGAGTGCCAGACTATAGACATCTATTAAATGGTTATAATCGGTGCCAAACTGTGCTTCGGGTGCCATATATTGGGCGATATCTGCGGTGTGTTTAGCACTCCTTTGATTGTATTCATCACTCAATGCTTTCACTTCTTTAGACAAACCGAAGTCACATAACTTTATATATCTATGATTTGTATAAATATATGGCATAGAAATCAACACATTATCGGGTTTGAGGTCTCTGTGAATGATATTATTTTTATGCAAATACTCCACACTTTCCACCAATTGTTTGAATATATCATATGATATGTAATAATCATATGTTTTATACATTTTAAACAATTTTCTTTGAGTTTTGATCAAATGAATCAAACCATTGAAACAGAGCTCCATTTGAATGTATAAACAGTTGTATTGAATCCACGAATAGTAGTATTGAATGACATATTCTGAGCGCAATTTTATTAAATTTTCCGTTTCTTTCAATACATTTTCTCTCTGTTTTGCTGTTAATACTGTTTATAAAAATAATAATTAATGCAAATTTAGTACAATTAATACCTTTTCAAACATATACCCCGTAATTGGCATTTCTTGATAGCAAACACATCGCCAGTAGTTTTGTGGCTAACTTTCATAACCTGTCCGTAACCTCCCTTTCCTATCATTGCCAGCGTCTCAAACATATCGATATTATTTGCATTAGAAATAGTTTCTGAAAATTATAACTTATAATAATTAGTTATTAATAATTAAATAATTTATATTAAGCATCATTATAATTGATAATGCATTTAATAATTATCCTAATATTTTACACCAAGATAACAATAGAGTTGCCGTATTATTAATTCTAATAATAATAATATATTTACCTATTGTTTGCTTTGTGTCATCATTTTGTCGATTATTAATCGCAACAGTATTTACAGTCAATTGGTATTCAAAGGCAAAGAACTCATCAAAAGTGTTGTATTTTGTTTCAATCATTTCGTA